CTTCGTGTTAGGAGATGAGCAAGTGAAAAATACAACCGCAAATTACATTGAAATGAGCAACAGCGATGATGCAATGTTAAAACAGACGCCATGTGGATTACTGAACATTGTGAAATAGGGAAGAATGTTGGATCTGGAGATGACAACTAACTTTATGGCTAATAGTGCAAACCTTACAAGCCATCAAATGCAAGCGCTAAACACAAGCACTTCATGACTACATTTTTCAGACTATAAATCACCTTTTTTTCATCTTTGGTCCTGCGACTTCTATTCGGGTATGATTTGCATGGGCGGAATCCTCGTACCCCCAGAGACACCCAAAACAGCATGTTTGTTCAACAATTGACATTGCATCGTCAAAGAGGGCAAGCCATTTTCAACACTTGAGATTCGTCAATAATTTGTTTAAAAATAAACGCTTCCAAATGCGAGCTGACCAACACAGTAGAGTTGTGGGGGAAAAAATACTTTTACCAAACTGGGAAATAAGACATTTCAGCTTGACGCCATCCCATTTTACAATTGGAGCTTTGATTGGCACCCAAAATCCATCTTCTCGAATCGTGTTGACTTACTGCCACCTTCTTTCTACCAGCACACCAGCACCAAAAGTATTTGCGAACTGCCAGACTTTAGAAGAAGAAATGGAGGAAGAACAAGAGGTATCCTCCTTGACAACATGCTGAAGAAAGTGGTAGGAATGCAACAAAGGTATATGCCAACTGCCAAAAGAAAGTCAAAGAAGAAATAGAAGATGAAGAAGTAGTCGTTTTGGTAATTAATGTGTGATGTAAGTTAGTCGCCGCCGCTAGCATGCGGCCATGACATGGAAGTACAATTTACATCAGCAAAAGGCACAATAACCAACCAGGATTCTACCTTAGCCCATAATGTGACACAGGATCCTAGTGAAGGTAAATCATTTTAAACTAAAAAGAAGAATGCCAAAAACCAGATGGTCCACTGTTCGATTCCCTCTTTGTCTGATGTTGTATACTTGGGCAAAACACTTGACCCACCTTTCCTCCAGTTTCACTTACACTGGTGTACGGCTGGTTGTGAGTATTTGATGGTGGTCGGAAGGGCCATAGGTGCGCGCTGGCAGCCACCCTTCCGTCAGCCTGCCGCAAGGCAGCTATGGCTGCAGTGTGAATGTGTGAGTGACTGAGTGAATAATATATCCACTGTGCAATGTCTTTGAGTGGCTCGAAAAGTGCAATATAAATCTGAGGGACTATTGTTCGTATTAAAATGCTTCCGTAGTTACAAGCGGAAGTTTCGATTGCAACCGGAACTCCTTGCAAAATTGACTCTGATGCTCTAATAGCACTCCACCAAGAATACTTGTGTTCGGAGAGCCAGAGCGCACTTCCCTCTCACTGATGTCCAAATGCAGGCTATGTTATAAACCAAGCAGCAGCTTGTGCTATAACTGTTTCCATCTGTAGTGCCTGACGCACCGGGCACTTCTTTTTTGGAGAACTCTCCATAACCGAATTGCACATTTGAACAACACGTTTCTGAACAGATGGAGTGAGGCAGTGAAGCAGTATTTCTGTACAGACCCATGATAAGGGAACTGGGATTTTGTAGGTGAGTCTGACTTCTGCTGTTCTTTGTCTTGGTTTTGTAAAATTAATTTCCATGTGAAGATTTGATCTATTTAGGTAAAATATACATCACATTGGCCTTTAAAGGGGAAGTCAAGCACAAAATTTTCTTTTCAAAAATATGTTCTCTGCTCCTCCATTAGTCTACATGTGGCATTCTGATAAATATTGCAATTGTGGAATATAAGTTAAGCAGAAAAATCCACCTGTTTTTAGTCATCTGAGGGTGCGGCCATTTTGCCACTTTCTGTGAACTGAAAATGACATCACAGTTGCTCAGGGCTCAGGTAATGACCAATCACGGCTCATCTGTTTTCTGAAGCTGTGCTATGATTGGTTGTTACCTGAGCCCTAAGCAACTGTGATCTCATTATCAGTCGACAGCAAGTGGCAAAATGGCCGCCCCCTGAGATGGACAAAATCGGGTGCATTTCACAACTTAACTCATCATGTTCCACAAACACAATATCAACCAGAATGCTGTGTTAAGGCTTGTTGGGCTGAATAGAACTTATTGTTAACACATTTTTGGGGTTGACTTGCACATTAACGGACCTCCCCCTGATAGTTTTTTAAATCAAGGTTGCACTGAATAGCATTCAACTTTTTGTCACCATTTCAGTTGTCATGATTTTTTGTATGCACTTGTGCTTTCTGGCATTAGTCGGTCCACTGCTTTATAGGTATTGAGCACCGTCATTCCAGAGGACCTAGCTAATGGTCTGCCTGCTAGCCCACGAGCCCACTAGCTCACCGCCCTGTTAGCCCGCTAGTTAGCTTTATCATGTGGGCTCACACACACAACACAATACCGTGTGAGCCAGCGACTAAATGGACAACACTGATAAGTGGGCTAGCAAGTGGGCCGGCGAGAGATTTTGCTAGCCCACGAGTGGTAGGCTCTATTAATGAATTCCAAATTCAAACAAATCAGAGGTCAACCAGTATCAGAGAATATAATGTTTTCCACTATAATTTGAAATAAAGCCAGTTGACTGCTGTGGTACTATAATGGTGTGATTTGGATGTTCCAGAAAAAGCGATGAGTGTGTGGTCGACTGTGTGAACACCAAGTCAACCCTAAGTGGTCTTGATCTTCTAACCTTGTACATCATAACACACCACCTTGTAGTAAGTAAACCTCAGCTCATTGAGGTACTGTATACACTACAGTAATTGAAAAAACGTCTACTTGCACAACTAAAAGGGGGTAAAGGGGGAGGGGTGCTATTGGTTTAGACCTCCAAGCCCTGCTCCCATGCTCCTTTCACTTCATACCAAATGGGGAGTCCTCAAAGCCTGAGCTGAAAACAGGAAATCACTGCAGGACCCCCCACCCCACCCCCAGAGGATAAATTAATTAACATGGGAGGACAAAGAGTAGAAATCACCTGGAGCTATGTGTGAAATTAACATGACAACTACACAGTCGCCCTTTCAGGCCAACACAAGCACCTCCGGAAAAAGAGCTAGAAACACATGTCAACAATAAGCGTTTACTTGTTAAAGAAACCCTGTGGGGACCAAACCCCACCCGGATTTGTATTTAAAACTTCACGTCACGTCCCGAGAAACATATGGAACTGTTCTTAATCTTTACCAAGTAAACAGGAGTAAGATTTTCGAAACTTTTGGCGAATCATTGTCTTGACCATCTCGCAGGAGCAACTTAATATTCTTCTGTTACTCGACGCAGAGGGCATCAGTTTTCCTTCAAATTAAATGTGAACGTGGGCTTACCGTAGCATCTCAGGTTTGAACCCCAGAAAAGCACCCAGAGCAAATTCCTCATGAAGTTCGCCATAGCGCCAGAAGTTCCTCGGGAAAATATATTTGAAAATAATTATAACCGAGTGGAGAATCATCCAGTTTTAGAAACCTTGTGTTCCTCTTCTACGATCCTCGCTTTTGCCGTTCCGATTCAGCGACTGGGCCGGGACAAGACGCACAATCTCCGCATATGAAGGTGGTGGTGAGGCATGGAGCTCCAGAGGAGATGCGGGTCCTTACGGGTGAACACAGCCGCGTTACGGGCTGCGGGGCTATCCCACGGCTGCTCGAGTGGGCTCCACGCGCTGAAAGTCTGCAACAGAGATGCGTGCGTTCTTGAACGCGACGTGTGTGCGCTTGTGTGCGTGCGCGGGTGCGGGTACGGGGGGTGGTCGGTCAGTGAATGTTGCAGCTTATTCACAGCAGGAGGGCTGCAACAGAAACGGAGTTGCATAAAGCAAACTAATGTCTGTTTAAATGTGTTAAAAGGGCCGCGCAAAGTTGTAGTCAGTGCCAATGAAACATTTTAAAACACCAGCGGGCAACTGACTTCAAAATTACAAGCGGTCACGCCGAAAATAAAAATTTCACAACGCGATTGAGGTCGTTATCTTTAGACTCCTACAAGAATGAAAAAGTATTTTTTGAGAAAACGGCGTAATATTGATTTAGTGCTTGGTTATGTAGCGCATAATTCATCCACGCATCTCAAGCTGTTTTTAAAGATGACCAACTTCTGCCAATGGGTTTAATGTCTGTCGACGTTCTTTTTCACAAATCTCAGTTTAAATAAACTGCTGCCATCTTCTGGGTAAAAATGCGATGACAACTGTACAAATAGTGGTAAATGCAATACAACAATTCTACAAGATATCCTACCTTTATTGAACTTGAAGATTCAGTCTACCTTGGAACACAAATGTTATTGTAAACCTCCTACTTTTCTTCTTTAAACCTTCAATTTTTCCAAATAAATACAATAGAGAATATTTCCAGTCAATAGTCTTCCTGAATCAGTCCGATTACAAATGAATGTTTTGTGTCTTTTGAATGAGAGACTGATTTGTATAGTCGCTGCCAGAACTGGCACAGGGAGCGAGAGCTGGAGGAGCTTTTTTTTTGTCTACTCTGATGCAATCTTGATCAAAACCTTTCTGGCAAACAGGCAGTTGTCGATCGCCTCCTGTTGTAGTACAGTAATTTTACCAATAGATGGTGGATTTTCACTGTGCTATTTTCTGTTTGCTCTTGACTCGTACTTCCTGTGTCTATTTCAAGAGGAAATAGGAAAATTAACAAATGTCAACAATGAAACATTGGACATTGCATCCAAAAAGGAAAACAAAATAAGAAGCACACTAGAGAACTAAAAAGGGAACAAAGTTTATGTAATCGTTGTTTTGTACTTGTCACATAAAAAAATGAGGGCTCTGCTCCTAAGTGTGTGTGGATTTAACACAAGGACTAAGGATAATTTCGGACTCTACCTAAATATGTGGTGTAATACAGTTAAAACTCAACGAAAAAAAACCCTATAAATGCAAATGTACATTTTGTTTGACAAATTGAAAAATTTGTCAATCAACAGAGAACAGCTCAAGAAAGAAACATTTCACATTTCTGGCAGAAATAAAGCCTTTATTTTATATATTAATGTTTCGTTTTTCGATAATTGGCTTAGTAGAAAAACTTTGTTGAATATACAATAACTAAAAAGTAAGATGAAAGAAACGAAAGACAAAAACATGGTCAGGTGCTCAAGATGCCAAGCCGGTGAATGTTATGTGCTGAATGAACATGAACAAATGTCAGTGAGTCAATTCCAGATGTTGGAGCATTTTAATCTGCAACAAAATATGTACAAACTGCTGTCAACTTCTTCAAAGAGTAACATTGGCATTGCAGCTTCACGAGCGTTTTTCCTTTATTGGCCTCAGCTCTCAGTTGACATTCATGGAAAGGATATGCAAAACTCTGAGAGGGGAGGAGAAAAATTAAAAAGATATAGGATATGCAAATCTCTATCATGAGGCTCTTGATCCAAACAATTTAAGTGTGCACACAATGTGCGTGAGTTACTCCATGTCATCCACACTATTCAGTCCAAAGAATGGATAATAAGAGGTCCAGTGACATCGGTAGGTTTAAAAAACAAAACAAAACACATTCATTTCAGTAATGTTAAAGCGGCTTCCTGGATACACGACTTGGCCTTCAATATGTCCTCCTCCGTCTGTTCGATGGTCACCACCACTCTGATGCTGAGGACACGAGGAATAACAGATATTTGTTGTTTAACCCTTTCGTGCACCCTGTAACCTGATAAGCGGTCCATTGTAGTTACCGCTGTCCCTGAAAGAGTTAAACTCTGCCACCCCATCGACTGCAATTGTGGTATCAAGAGTGATCTTACCTGGGCGGAGGGGGATATCGCTCCTCTTTTTCGAGGTATCGGGCGAGGGTCAGTGCCACTTGCCTCTCCATACACTAACAACAAAAATATGGGAATTAGGATGAGTTACAGAAAACAAATGTCTGTCTCGACTTGCACAACTTGAAGACCAACATTTTCGGTCCGACTAAAATATTTGGGACAAATATGACTCAAATTAAATGGAACTGGACATGGAATTGTCATGATTATCAACAGGGTATGGCGCAAAAACCACACTAGCCTCCCCAGCATCGAGGATGAACTCAGTGACATCGTCTTGACCTTACAACTGGCTTTACGCACGCTTTACTTAAAAAGAAAGAGGTCTAGGGTAGAAGGGATGAAAAGAGGAAATGGTCTTTCAGTATCATCGAGGAGAGGCGTTATGATACATTTCGTGAGAAAACAAAAAGGAACTCACATAATCTACAATTGAGCGCAGCATCTGCATGTCAGACTCTCGAGAGCCCGAACTTTTCTCCAGCTGCAGGTGAAGAGCGGGGGCAAACTGCATTCCGACCAACTTCAACCCTGGAATTCTGCAATACAATAGACAAATACTAGATTGTGTCAGAGACATTTTGATTTTATTTCCCGCTGTTCTTTCTGTTTGCATCCACGGCCGATAAATTCAAGGTCCAGAGGCCTTATTTGGGTGGGCGGTAAAGAAAAAAATTATGGTGTCACAGGAACATCAAGTTGCTTGGAGCGAGATGGTTTTGTCGACGTTGCCTTTAGAATGCGTATGTATAATTTTCTTTCTAACCTGCTAAAACAACTGTCTTCTTTGCTTCGTCTGGTCCATGTTTAGCGTGTTCACATAGGATTTCACCAAACAGCACTGTGACTCCTTGTCAACCATTAAATAGGTTGACTGAGTGCTTATAAGTTGGAGAAAATCAGGACTCAAAGGTTGTGAGTGAATTCGGGGAAAATTGAATCGGTAGGCAGAAAACATATAGTCAGTGTAAGCAATTTGGGAAAAACGTCCATCAGGCAGACTTCTACTGTTCCAGTGTCGTTTCATAGAAGAGAGTGGACTGAATCGGTGTAATGAATTGAAATTGAAGAAAAGATATAATAATGGTAGAATACGTACCCTTGTAATTCTTTGTAAACATATGTGCATTTCTTCCTCAGAACGGTGAATATGTCTGCAAATCAGAGCACAACCGCTCAGTCTTTTTAAAATTGTCACATTTTCGATGTATCAAGATGACCTAATGGGACTTGCAAAAACTCTCTAAAGGTATTGTAACAGTGAACCGGTATCGCGGTACCTTGACTTGAAAGCCAACGTTTCACTTAATGAGCTTGCTTCTGGTACGCTGCCGAAATGCGGACATCCCATGAACGTAAACATTTTTAAAGACAACATCATTTGTGTTTTTCACAGGACAGCGACGATATGTTAATTTATTAGCTGCAGTGTGCTAGCAAGAGGTGTTGACCAGCTTTTTAGGCATTGGAATGATCGACGTTTATCGCCAGACACACGACGAGAACACAGCTGGGGGCCTTTGGGCAGCGTGACTCTTCCAACCGCATCCCTTCCAACATTTTCTTTACTTCCTTCCATCCTTTCCTTACGTTTTGATTACTGTATTTCCCTTTGATTGAAAATGACATCCAAAAGTTGCGCACAGTGGCATTTTGACTACTTTTTACGACGGGAGCAGCAGTTTATTTTGCCATGCTGGGCAGAGAACAGCAATATGGGCTGACACCATTCAAGGTCACTACCCAGAATGCATTGTAACAATGGTGGCGTACATGCAAATAAACTCATCTACTACTGCTGCAGCGCATGCCTGATTTGCATACACTACTTAAATGTTCCTCTGCTGCAGTGTGGATCCAAAATAACAATGGGCCAGAGGAACTTTTTTTGCCTCAAGAACTAATGTAATTTTGGCACAAGAGTGCCTGATGTGAACAGAAAGAAAAGTGTACCTGGATTCTCTTGCATGATGCTGAGGGCCTCTATGGCAGCAGCAGCTAGCATGGGAGGCAGGGACGCAGAGAAACAGTAGCCTTGGCCTGACAGGCGCTACAAAATAACGAGACACGCATTCTTATTACTGAATCACATCATGTCACTGGAGACCATGAATAACTACAATGCGTCGTAGAGAAGGGATGCACCCCATACTTTCCATGGAAATTATAGACGTTTCATTTCGAGAGCTAAAATTTCACTCTTAAATCCAGTGCCAGGAGTTAAACAAAACATTTCAATTATTTATTCAATGGGCATCAGTGGGCGGAGTGGGGGAAGGGGGCGGTAACACATTTCACAGAAATACCCATTTGAAGGCATTTACCTGGTGGTCTATAACAAAAGAGCGTCCACAGCAAAAGCCTCCAATGGAGGCCACAGAATTCTCCATGTTAGCACTGATCAAGTCAATGTCTTCTATCTGCACAAACATGAGAAACAAGTATGTTGTCAGTCCCCACAGGAAAAATCAAACACGGCCTAAAAGAAAATGGGAGCGTTTCAGAGTACAGTTCTGAACTGCAGTCCAATACTAGAACAGAGTCCTTCCTCAGACCTGTGACAAACCGTCTGAACATTAGTTGCATGAAACTTCAAATTGAAAGTACCTACTTTGACTCCAAAGTGCTCAGTGACCCCTCGGCCATGCTCTCCCAACACACCGAAAGACATGCTCTCCTCCAGGAAAATCCTCACCTTATACTTGTATTTTAGTTTCACCTGAATGACAATATTGTAAAAAAAAT